TATTACAGAATAGCGTAGTTATACCTGACCAAGCTGCCTCTGTCCGTATTTTGTGCAAAAGCGGACGTTATTACCAGTATAGATTTTTTGGGGTGTCGGAGCAGGGGGGGGGGGAGATTCGCATTATTTTTAGGTAAATGCTATGAAAAAAATTGTTTGCAAAAGCTTGGGGTTGACCCCCCCCCCCCCCCCTCCTAATTACAAATGGAGTTAAACCAAAAAAAAATCTAAAATGTCTATGAGCTTTCAAATGAGACATCGCACGAAAACAAAAATCGGCCCATATCAAGCAATCAATTAATTAATTTCTGAATAGTGTGCGCAATTTCAGAACTGGAGCGCGTCATTTAAAACCAACTAGTATTAAAACTGTGTTAAGGCCTGCAAAAACAAACAAGCAAATTTATTTGTTACAGGACATAATAATCCTTTTCATTTCGCTCGGAAAAGAAAATCGAAATTTTGAAAAAGCACGTTGGCCCTATACATGTATACCAACTTTTTAAAATGTCATCAAATTTGCGCGTGACGATGCAGTATTTCGATGATATCTCCAAAAAAAATTAGATGCTGCGTTGCTTGATATTTTGTGTTCTTTCTTTTACCGATATTCTTAGCGTCGATGTTACCCACCTCAGGGCAGTAGCGTAGCGGGGGGGGGGGGTTTGCACAGTCAGGGGCGGATCCAGGAATTTTCGCAGGGGGGGGGGGTTCATCGTAAAAAAATAATCTGAAATAAAGACATTTTTTTTTCTCCGGACTAGTCTTCAACTTCAAAAATCAATAGATGGGGGGGGGGGGGGGGGGGGGGGGGGGGGGGGGCTCGTACCATACTTTCAATGGGGGAGCTGTTCAAACTGTCGATTATTAACACTAGATCACAGAACAGTGTACATATACCCCCTAACCAAGTGGGTATATGTCCGCATTTTGTGCAAAGGCGGACATTATTACCAATACAAATGTTTTGGGTGTCAGAGCAGGAGAGACTTTCACATGTTTTATCACGAATTTCTATGTAATTTTTTTTTTGACAGAGCAGGACCCCCCCCCCGGTTCCGCGCCTGACAGTGGTAAATTGCAACCGGCTACAGATTTTAAGAGCGAGCCAGGCGGGTACGCGCCAAGCAAAATGTAGCCTTGACCAAGGCTATCAGCTTGTTCCCATACGAGCTTGTTCCCGCTACCGCACACCGCGCGCGCCGCGACACAATCACTAGTTGTACTATACCGTTAGCCTCAACGACCCTTGCGTGTGCTTTGTGTGCATGTACGTACGCCCCACACACACTTCCGCAAACAGCCGTATAATAAGTCGAAGCGCAAGATAGCCTTGACGCAACCGTGGCGAATTCCTTATGTGTTTCTTTATAGTTTCGACCGAAATCGGCCGAAAATTTCTGTGCGCATATATTACACGATATCCAATCAAAGCCCGTAAACTTTGACCCGCTACATACATATTCATGACCTGCAAATTACTGTATACACCACGTACATGTATGTTCATGCTCAAACCATGGTATGTCCAGGTATTTCAATCCCATTTTAAACCATTTCTCCAGTTTTATTACAAACAAATGAAACATGCCGCTATATGAGTGAACAATTGTTCAAAATGATACTATTTCCAATGTATTGCGAATTGGACAGTTCAAGACAGTCCACCGACGTTTTGTCGGTGCAACCATGGAGGAACTCCATGGTGCAACAGCGTACATTATCACGCCGCTACCTGCCCGTGCTATTCTGACAGCGAATGTAGGGAACGGGTCAACTCGGACCCAGGTCAAATCATACCCATTTAATCGAATGCAGGTTAACTCGTATCTGTAAGCACCCGTATGAATTAACTGCATGAAACGAGCTATTGACTTTGGGATGGAAATATACGAAACTGTCAGGTACATGGTGAAAAAAAAACTCTCCCTGAATTCGTACCATGTGCAAATTACATCTCATACGTACGACACATGTATTTTAACGCGTACGTATGAATCGTATATATGTCGTACCTACGACATACGTACGACATGTAAGTCGTAGATGTAAATCGCACGAGATACAAGTCGTTCTCAGAAGATATGTTGTATGTACGACATAATCGACAAACAAGTCAAACATACGAGTTACAATTCATATTTTGTACACACGAGATATTAAGTCGTACTTATATACAACTTTGTCGTATGCGACATATATCATACCCTGTCGACTCGACTTATGCACGACATATATGTCGTACCGGCACCTGTCGACATTATGTCATATGTTTGATATGTCATACTCTGTCGACATATATGTCGTACCCTGTCGATGATATTAGTCGTACCCTGTCGAAATATGTGGTACCCTGTCGATATATTAGTCGTACATACGACATATAACTTATAGGTTGTTCATACAAGTTAAAATCAGTCTTACAGAATAAGTTTGCTGAAGGAGAGATATTTTTTCCCATATCCCCTTGACAGCTTAGAAGAAATACCCCCCCCCCCCCCAAAAGTCAGCGGTAGATATACTCAATGATAGTGTGAGCGCTTTTTTTGCCGCTGAACGTGAAAGCGCAGCGTGTCTTACTGCATGGCGCCAGCCGGGCCGGTGCCTACAGTGGACGGCCCCAACGTGGCCTCTGTGCATGGTGACATCGTTTTTGACGGCGTGCGGTTTTGTACCGTTTGCCGTTTTTTGAAGGTCTAATTTTTCATCCTTTTCATTTCATTTTCGATCCAAACTATGTGTAACTTTATAAATATTATTGTACTATTATTTAAGATTTTAAGGGGGTGTTTTACAATAATTATTGTTACTACAGGCCGTCTGGTTTATAAACCTTTGGTCGTATTATACAATGCAATAAATATTCATTTTTTTGTCAGCCGTTATCCAATGAGAGAAGACTATTTACCATAGCGCGTACTAATTATCATATTCGGCATACACGGTTGCGTCAAGGCTATCTTCCGCCTCGACTTACTGTACGGCTGTTTGCGGAAGTGTGTGTGGGGCGTAAGTACATGCACACAAAGCACACGCAAGGGTCGTTGGGGCTAACGGTATAGTGCAACATTGTGTCGCTGCGCGCGCGGTGTGCGGTAGCGGGAACAAGCTCATATGGGAAAAGCTGATAGCCTTGGTCAAGGCTAAGCAAAATGGGGCCGGCGACATCGGCTGTCGGAAAAAGCGTGCCACGCAGTCGGCAGCGATGAAGAGCTAGCGCCACCTACTGTCTGAGAATGACCATCCGCCCCACGCCGTAATTTTTTGGACCCACTCTTTGGAGGCTAATACATGTTTTGGCCCCCAAAAAATTGTGTTCTGGATCCGCCCTTTGTTGTTATGTAGAAGAAATCGTCGGAATCATATTTATCACCCGAATCATATTGGTAGTATCACCCGTTGTCCAAAGGAGCCCTCTATGTAACAGGCGCGGATCCGGGGGGGGGGGGCAAAAATTTGTTGTTTCCATATAAATTTATCAAAAATAATGCTACCCTCCCCCTGCTCTGACACCCAAAACAATTATACTGGTATTAATGTCCGCCTGTGACCAAAGTACGGACAGAGCCTGCTGGGTAACGGGGGTATTATCCTGTAATATAGTGTTAATAAGGCCAAAAAAATATATAAGTCGGTCTCTGGTCAGCGCGCGCGTCGATTTTAATCATGCGCGTCGATCTTTTTTTTCCCAAAATGTTCCTCGGTAGCTCCAACAGCGCCCTCTATTTCCGCACCTCCTCATTTTTTTTTTTTACCAAAGAGCACCAAGGAATGGGAAATTGCAGCAAGGCAAATGATCGAAAGCACCAAGGCAAAATATGGAGGACACCAATGTACATGAGGACACCAAAAAAGCAAAATAGTACCCCACCTTGTCTGTACAATCCAAGCTTGAAGAAAAGAAAAAAAAAAGCAAAAAAAAAAAAAAAGCCGCGTGGCCGCGTCAATTCCGGAACTTTGGTCTGACCAGAGACCGAACATTTTTTTTTTTGGCCTAATCGTCGGATTTGAACAGCTCTCCCATTGAAAGTACGGTACGAGCTCCCCCCCACCCCCCCCCCCCCCCCCCCCCAAAAAAAAGGACAGAGCCTGCTAAGTTACGGGGGTTAGTGTTAACAATCTTAAAATTTGAACAGCGCCGCTATTGATTTTACGGAGCCAAGTGTCCGGGGAAAAACCTGTCTACATTTCAGAATTCATTTGCTGATGAAAACCCCCGCCTGCAAAAATACCTGGATCCGCTCCTGCGTAACCAACGTTTGATACATTAATGCAAATTGTATGCGACCCCGCACGCCAGCCAATCGGAGTCGACTTAAGAAATTGTGACGTTATTTCGATCTAAAATGTGGACTAAGCTGTTGATTGGTCAATTTGGCTGCCATGTCAACTTTTTTTGAATAATTCATCACCGAATCACCGAATCGCTCGCATATCAAGGACCCTTGCTGCGCAAAGAGATATTCTACATAATACCACCTACCGAAGACAACCTCTAACAAACCGTTTGTTACAATCATTTTGAAATTTGTCAGTGTGGAAATCGCCTCCAAATGACTTACAACAAGCAATTTGAGACGTTTAAAGGGGACTTTTAAAAGTGTGCACACCAGTAAATATGCCAAATATCCGTCTGCCAAGCTCATGAATAAAAGTTATTCCCTCAAAATATTCTATAATAGAGAGTTCTGAGAGCCATGGAATTAGGGATTTGAAGAGATAATGCAATGAACCTCTGGCCTGGACTTGGGGCTTCCAATTCTGAGCATTTTGGATGCAATCGGGCCCGAAAGTGGCGCTATTCAGCCATGTTGTGGAGGGATCATTTTTCAATATGGCTTCTTTTCCGCTTTGGGAAAAAGAAAATGAAAGATGACATGTTGATCATCATTTTTCTGTGCAGCATAAATACCTGTGAGAGTTTTTAGTATTTTAAAAGAATTTTGAAGTACGGACATTTCGCACTGGTGTCTATGGGAGTGTTAATACAGGAGTGCATCCGTAATAGACTCCGCCATTCGCGTGCCAACAGTGAATCTTTATTCAGTTAATTGCTCGACGATAATTTGAGATCACTGTGACGAGCTGAGATTATGCACACATTGTACAATATACACAAGAGTCCAAAACCTTTAATAACGTAAAGTAAATTTAAACAGAATATTCTGAACTTGTTCTATTTGCACCAAAAGAGTTCCTTGAAATACAGTGTTCGAACTTACAAGACGTGCGTGATTTATATATATAATGGTGCATGATAAAGTTATGGTTGGGAAATGTAGGAGGATTGGAACACAGGTCGAAAATATCGAACTGGTGAAGCCATATTTAATGGCGCGTCTTGGCAGAATATCTTGCTCGGCCCAAAAACAAAATTTCTGTGAGCCAGTCACATTCTATAGAAATCTCATACAATCTAAGTTGATTGGTGTTTTGTATATAGCTGCTGTTGGAATGTCTCCAGCAAAATTGTGTTTAAATCGTGTTGATTATAAAAACCCTTCTTTTGTTTGTAAACATTGAGCGCCATTTTGTATGGACTGCCACAAGGCATAAATTAAAGCCGTGGTTGGCAACAGATTTTGCAAAAAAATGCTTATTAACACCCTCATTGTGTTAAAAGAGGCATATTATTAAGCCTTTCGTGTCTTTGGTAGCCTTTTTTTGTGTTATATTACATTTCAACAATCCAATGAAATGTTTGAAAACATTAATAACAATTGCTGGGTTTTTTTGCATTGTTGATTTTCCATAGTTTGCCAACCCGTGGATGAAAAGTGCCAATGGTTGGCATTTTACGAGTCACTCTCTGAAACTGGTCTATATAGCGCCCCCTCTTGGCAGAGCCAAAGTACAAGAAGTTTGGACTTTGGATTGAAATTTTTCCAATTTCAACGCAAAGTAAATGAACATAATCACAACGACTTTTAGCACATACTTTGATCATTATAGGGGATGTAAATCCTGAAAGTTGCATGAAGATACGGTCTTCCAAACGGGAGAAATTAATTTTCAAAGATTTCACCCGCCAACGTGAACATGTCTGTGTACATGTAGTTTCATTCAAAATAAAGTGCTACGTAAACTTTAGAAATCGCCCTTCACAACCATTATGGCTGTATTATGGTTTGAGCGTCATCCATTCGCCGAGGCCCGCTCAGAACATTTAGTGCGGAGACCAAAAAAAAGTTGAGGGCGTCTTTCAAAGCATCTGCATTCTGCAATGTGCTTTCAATTCACAACCTCATACAATCAGTTCACACATTCATTGGCAAGTGCAACATTGTATATAACGATCCGTGTGCGCGAGAAAACAGTCTGGTGGTGTCATATACGTCCTTGGATGAAGTTCATTAATTCATCCCCGATGTCGAACATCATCTATTATTCCATATTCCTTGTGCGCTCTCCCTCGAATTCTTGAATTCCTGAAGGAGAAAACACAGGGGGGAAAAATCAAGTGGAGATAATGAAGTGAAAGATTGTTTTCGCTCACACTCCTACAGTTTATTGACAGCGAGATATCCTGTCCAAAATGTGCGCTTGACATTATTGGTCCTTGAAGCAACACTCTTCGACAGAGAATAATTGGTTAAGATTGGCAGTAATTCTATCGTTTGATGACTTTCACGGACAGGAAGTGTCGAAAAAAACCGTAAGTCTTCCGAATTTAGTCAGCTGACGATGACAGCAAAATAATTTTGATAACAGCTGCGTCCGAATTACTATTATGGCTGGGGCTGGCAGCAGTAACACCAGCGTCTGAAGGGAACAAATTCAGATATATAGCGTGTCTTATCTAGGCCCGGACTTTAATATTCAAGTGATTTGACGCAGCAACTTTAGGCTCAATGCATCTCTGGTCTGATGGCAGAAAATGGTCAAATATTCAACCAGAAGGACGAACTGATCACTAAAGCTTAAACCATAAAAAAAAAACTGAAAAAATAATCTTAAATCAACTTAAGCAAAAAAAAAAAGTACTTCACGTGTTTGAGCAAAATGTAAAACAAGTTCTGCTGATAACACTGTGCAACGTGAAATAAACAGACTATGAATACTTTGGCCGGAGAATGTACTTATTTTGCAGGCTTCGAGAAGTTACATGGGTCCTTGTGCATTACAAGCAAACGACGAGTATACGACGCTAAAAGAGGCTTTAGAGATTGAGGAAATCTCGACTTTGCATCCAGATCAGCTATCGGTTTCTGTCCAAGATTGAAGCTGCTTGGTTTTGGGAACTCCAGCTGACTATACGTCCATGTTCTACCTTAAGATTATTAAATCTGATAACCTAAAGGCCAATGTGTAAAGCATTTCATTTTTGTTTGAACATTTTATAAGGCATTCCATGGAGATCAAAGCCCAAGCCATAAAACAAACCCAAGGTTTCGGCGAACCGAGTTCAGGCTCGCTTCTATTCCTAAATGACTTCTCACCTCTTGGGAACATATATTCAAGTGAACGGGCCAGGTCCTCGGGTCTCCGGTCCGCGGCATGCCCCAGCCGATCGAGCCGGGAATATCGCTTTTGGCCCGGTGGAAGGGGGCGCCCGTGGCCGGTCGGTACAGGTACAGCAATTCGCTGGACTTCTCGGGCGACGTTTCCCCAATACCAACGTACCGGTTGTCTTCGTTCACTTTCACGTCTTGGTTCTTTCGGCCTTCTGGTCCTAAATGTGAAACGAAACAATGAAATACCATCAATTCGGGGCGTAGTTCTCTTTTGGGGAGGGGGGGGGGGGTCGGGAATGGTCTATTAATACTGACACTTTCTGAAATTGGAAAATGTGCGCTGACACCATTTGGCGCTAGGTGGCGCTATTATTATTATTATTATTATATATTCGGCCAACAAATGAACAAAAGTACAATGACAAAGCAAATATGAATCAGAAAGTAAACAAAAAATAGAAATTGAAAAGTATGACCAGACAAGACTAAAGACTGATGCGAGTAGGAATGGGTTGGAAGGGGGGGAGAGGGAGGGAAGGGAGGGTTCACCCAATGTAGGCGTGGTTTTATTCTTTACTGACTAATTTAACTGTTTGTGTATTCATTCTGCGTTAATGACAACTTATATCCTTTTATAACACGTCAGACTTTGCACAGTGGAACTTGTTTGATTAAATACTGTAAACCTCTGATCACAGTGAAATGGGAATGTATACATTGATAAAGTCCTATATTTCTCAGCTTAAAAGAAATTTGAAAATTGATCAACTCTATATAGTGCAACCAGTCTTTACGCGTCTGATGCATATGCTTTATTCCTTGTCTCGGGTATAGATAGAGCACATTAATGTGACCTAACTTTGGTCGGGAGTGGCGTAACATAAAATTATCTTTCCATATTATACTAATGTCACCTCTGCGGAATTTTCGCAACGAGTTTTTTGTAATTACATGTACAACATTATGAAAGCTCGTGTGCCAACTTCGCATCCATGGCATTTTCTCTATTCTGACTGAAAATACAATCTTTATGTTTCATTTAAAATAATATCAGAGAAGGAACGACTCAACAAAAGTGCTTTTTCAGTCTGTTTAATGTCCGTAGCTTTTTTAGGTCATAAAAAATACAGGCATTAAAGGAAAACAAACACAAACGAGACTAGAAATGCGTGTAAAAAATATATATTGAGTACAGGGCAAAGGCGATCCTCGACAACGCGTTAAGACGGCCAATCCCAAGAAAACGCAAATTTTGTCATGGCGAGCCACAATTTCCGATATCCGCTGTTAAATTATCTGACACTTCACAACGTCACGTTATAATAGTCAAGAAAAGCGTCAGTCGAAGACTGTGTGTCTCGCAATAATTGACAGTGAAATGACTGTACTAAAAAGAAAAAGCTGCATTTTCCTTGAGAATGACTCGCGTCTTCTGCCCAGTCAGTCCTGTGCATACAAGCAAAATCAACTTACGGCGAGAATTGATTGTATTGTTTAAACTAGAGCGACCTTCGTCGACGTTCTCGCGGTAATTCAACGGGCTGAACTGAGTCAGTTTTTTCAGCCTACCCATTAAACAAGATGGTCGCCCATTCCTTGCGGTATACAGCAAGGTTATAATGGTCTATTTTTAAGAGAAGATGAACAAACCACCGGAGATGTGACTAGATAATTGAATGAATAAGCAGGCTGTTTGTCTTCTCAACGAGTTTGTTTGCACCAATAAGAGGTGGGTTTCTGTTAGATTCATCCTGAAAAAACGTATGCTAACGTGGAAGAAATTGAAAGTGAGTGTACTGCTATCGGTTTGCGTATACATGTGTGACAATGGATGAACATCTTACATGGAAAAAACACATCAGTGATATCTCGAGCAAGATATCAAAATCTGTTGGTATAATGAATCGCTTAAAATTCTTCATTCCAAGCAACATTTTAGTAATGCTTTATAACTCTTTGGTTCTCCCATATTTAAACTCTTCAGTTCTTAACTGGGGTAGTTCCTCGGTAAATTTTGATAAAATGTTGTTGTTACAAAAACGAGCTGTTCGCATCATTTCTAATGCTGGACACCGTGTTCATACCGCCAACTTATTTGCAAAATCTAAAACTGTTACGAATTAAAAGACATCTACTACTTAAATTTAGGTAAATGTATGTATAAGTACATGAATAATGCATTACCTGGTTGTTTTAGCTCATATTTTTCGTTATCATCAAACATATACATTCACACAATACTCGAAGTGCTTCTTGAAAAAAATATCCATGTTTTTTACAGTCGAACGTCCTTGTTTAAAAACAGTCTTATTCAACGTGGTGCAAACTACTGGAACAGTCTTAGTGAATCTATGAAAAAAATCACCATTACATGCTGTATATGTCAAAAAACTAAGAAAACAACTTCTTGATGCATATTTATAAATGTAATGTGTAAAATTATTTCGTATTGTTATGTCTTAGTAACTGCACACTCATTTGCTGTTGTTGTCCTTTGTCCTGTCTGTCCCATTGTCTGTCCCTAGGTTAGGGTACAAAAGCATTTTTGCTTCACCAAAACCTAATTATTGTTGTGTAATAATTTGACATTAAACTTAACCTGTATCATTGTATTTCAACTTATTGTAAACACTGTACATCCAAGGACAGCATTGAAATAAATGTACTACTACTACATTTCCATTCAATGCAAAATCTGGTGACAGCAAGCTTGGCTATCGCAGAAATCGTAAAGGGTTGGACAATTATGATTACATTTTCACCTTTTTTTCCAGAAGAATATGGCATCCACTGAGCTAAAACTTCTTTCGGACAGTTTCAAGAAATCTTACATTAATTGAGTGTCCTTGGTATTGAGATCGGGACAAACTTTTCTTTGTTTACCTTAAATGTGCAATAGTGAGCACGACCTCGTGTCCAAGAGAGACGTGAATGTGTCTCCGATTGTTTTGTGATCAACAAACAGAACATTATCGTCAAGAGCGCCACCATTTGTCATGAAGAGTCCTATCTTCCTATTCCACAGTGCAATGACACCGTTAGGTCTGGACTCACACCAGGCACTTTCGGTCTTCGGTCACTCTGCTATCGATTTCGTCACCACGAGAGGAGGAGGTTTTTTTTCCTGTCTTGACGCTGACCAAACTGACAGCGTGTACAAAAGCCCTCTCGAGCCGGTGCCTTGCACTTTCCGGCAGTGACTAGTATTTGCCCCATCCGACAGTTTAATTTTGTGCAGTATGATTTTGAGGTTTTTCTTCAAAATGACGAGTTTGATAGATAAGACTCTCCTTTTGTTTCAGTTAAAATGGAAGCGGCTCTGAGGCCACACATTTCAAAACTACAGATTAAAATATTTCAATTAGATGTCAAAACGAGGCTCGAAACGAGTAATTTTTGTGACGTTGGAGACCTGTTCATTTTCAATCCTGATCAAGGCGAGCATTGACGCCCTCAGTTTCACTGTTAATTTACAGTTCCTTCTTTCCTTTTCTTTCAAAGGAAATATAATTCTTGGGGAAGAATAACAGGATTTTTGTCTCCTTTTTTTCTAGATTCCATTTTTTAAATAATCAGAATAAAGCTATTGCTAAATTTAGTATATTTTCCGACTGAAATGACCTTTTTTGTAGGGACAGGGGGGGCTAAAGATGTTTTCCCCCCCCCTTACAACACCACAGCACCGCGCCTAATTTGGAGACACTTAATCTAATCACATAAGCCATTAATAAAGATACAGTGCGGAAGGAAGTTTTACACGACTAATTACAGAAACTATTTAGCATTATAATATTTGCTATACATCAGTAAGGTACACAAATTATAGTCAAATAGGCCTATACGTCTTGCCTGGCGCAAATATCCTCCAGAATCATGTAAATTCCAATTTCACACAAAAAATATAATCACAAAGAAAAGGTAATCACTTTCTACACCCTCGTGGCATCAATTAGACAGATTTGTTAGGAAAACTGGTATCATTCTGGTCCAAAAAAAGAAAATCCACTCCTTAAATCCTGTCATCTGAAACAAAATGAGGAAAGGGAAGAAGCAGCAAATTGGAGAGCTTTAGCACCGCGTTTTTAAGTATTGTCAATAAGTATCTCGTTGACACAGGCGCTGGGCCGACCAAAATTACTGTGGCGGGTCGTTTGATCACGATCCGAAGTATCGGTCATTACAACCTGCATCTGGCGTGATTGCAACGCTTGATATTAATACACATTCCATGATCGTAAGCGACGCCAGTACCATATAATGGTCTACGGCCCTATCAGGGTGATATTGGCTGCATCTGTATACTGTCATATTAGCTTAGTGACAGGGTTGGTCGAGAAGAGGCGGTAACTTTGGAGGGGGGGGGTGATCTGAGTTTTGAGTTATGCATTGATGGCCTGGGTTGGAATAGATGCATGTAAAACTTGTTTATCAATTTGTAATAGTGTGGTCACAGGACGCCGACTTCCTATACACATGGAAAATGGAAACTTCTCTGTTGTATACTGTATGTTGACATGGAATATAGGGACGGTTTAAAGTTTTGACATTTTTCCGTACAGTGTGAAAAACATGAAACAGACAGTCATGTATGCTTGCCAGAAATTGACGTCTCATATAGGTGGAATGGTCTACAGGGCATGAGGTTTTAGAGAGAATGATGTCACCAAGTCTTTAGCTTTTTCCCCCACCTCCCCTCCTCCTCCCCAGCCCCACTCAAAGTTGATAAGTTAAGTATTATAAATCCAGCTTGCGAGTGTGTCCTGAAAACCTTGGAGACTATATTTGTTCTGAGGGTGTTTTCGCCTTCCATGGAACCTTTTGCAACGTTGTTAGAGGTACTAAATCCCCCCTCCTCCTTTCTCAAAGTCCTGAGTAAACGGCTGCTCACCTGTAAAAACCAGTATCCCTTTGCCCATACGCGTGGTACCTCTGGCTGTCATCCAGGTCTCGCGAGAGTTGCTCGAAGCACACGTGCTTGGACGAGACTTGGCAGAAGCCTCACTTGGCTGTGACGTCGGCGATGACATCTTCTTGGCCGATTTTTGACAACTTTCGTTTTTGAGTGGTGATTTTTTTTTGTGCACAATGTTGCTGGGTGATTTCACCTTGTATACGAAGTGACACTGCACTGACTGGCCTTTTCAAAGCGCGTGTATATACCGTGTAGATGTCATTGATTTCTTTGTACAGCGCTTAGCAACCGCTATTCAGTCCGCAACCATGCATGAATATTTCACTAAATACACTTGTACAAAGGCGCGACCTTGCATGTATGTAAACATGGTGTGTCTGATGTGTCTCAGTCAATGCGTTATTTTATTCATAAAGTAACTCCTCACGCAAATCTTCTTCCCAGGACCTGCCCACTTATTTCTCATCTTCCTACGATGTAGCAATCGTACTTTAGTATATAGGACATGAGGTTACCTTTCGAAAAACAAGGCCACCTTCTCACTCGGTAGGTGCTTCGTCACAAAACCAAACTCTCTTGAACATAGAAAAAGGTTACTGTACATTTCCCCCAAAAAAATTACTGGCTGTATTTTCACCACTGGATGATCCAGCTGCTGCATACACAAAGCTAAAGCCATCTAGCGCAGTAAAACTGTATTTTTCTTGCCTGTGACAGTTTCGAGTTTTATAGTAAACGCACAGACGCTGCCCGTGTTTTTCATTGTCTCAGCGCAATCTGTATTTGCACAAGTGGGGAAACCTTCGTCAACTAGGGACTAGATTTCCCAACCATAGTCCATCCGATGGTTGCAGATAACCAGATGTATTTTGATGGCCAGGACCGGTGCGCGGGTGGCCCTACTTGAGTGAGAATGCAGGTGCAACAACAGCATGAAGAGGGTTCTGTAAGGAGACCCACGATCACCGGGCCTTTGCTTGACACGGGGGAGTCCTACCGTGATTGACTCGAAATCTCAAGACTCTTCGAGAGGCTGCCATCGTTCACGATGACATTTACACAGCTCTAACGCCCCGTGTAGAAATCCTGACATGATTGTTTTAGGTCAAGATCATCCCTTGATGATTGTTATTGCTCGTCACTACAGTTCAGCCGTCACATCAACGTTGGCTGGGACTTGTCACTGTCTCCGTGAATTGGCTATTGGGTTTCAGATGCGTTCAGTTTTTTCAGTGCCGGCAATGGCTGATATTATTCCGCGCATCTCATATCATAACTGAGTATCAAGACTTTATATATGAAATCGACCTAAACACTTATGATCTATTTAACCTTTTTCCCCGTGCAGTCGTGAATATATTTTTACACACATATGCGCCAGTAGGGAAATGTCAAGGTGAATATATCATATGATATTATATTGTATGTTTGTAATTACTACATCCGTATTAAATATGTCAGTGCTGCGGTGTTGGCAATAAGCCGACAGGCTGTGACGACAGAATTTATTTCCTTCGGCGAGAAACAACCTTTACTCTATGCATTCATTCATTTTATCTCTCTCCATTTGTTGGAGTTTTAAGTATGCGGGAAAAACAATTTGCAGAACGAATAACAAACAGCAATAATATCATTAGTAGTGCACGGCTTTGCTAAAAATTACTGGCAAAGGGTTCAAAAATAGCCAATAAGTCGTATGAACAACGTCATTGATAATTTAAGTTCTTTTATCATAACGACCAAAAAAAACCAGAATCGCACACAAATCTTCTTTGCCTTAATTCGCTTCCATACTGGAAATGCCCTTGTGGTAAAAGGTAAGTGTTCTTTCAGCAAGACGAAAACAATTCACAAAGGGATGTGTGTGAATCGATTTCGTTTTGCCGAAAGAACACTTACTTTTTTTGTGATCCGTGGACAGAACTTTAAAACGGTGTTTGTGTTGAAAATTCCCTAACTTGAAAAGTACATGAGTGATTTGAATTATTCTTATACTAGAAGAAAGCTTATTGATTGGGCTTTTATATCCTAGATTTTAAAAGTGCTACAGGCAAAACTTCATTCGAAAATTGGTCCTGCCATTTGGGTTTCGGGTTTTTTTTTACTCACCCTGTAGACCGACGTACACTGGTTTATTCCATGTGTTTACATGTTTCCTAAAACTTATACCGGAGAATCACATATTTTGTGTCAGAGAAGTTGCAAGAAACTATTGACAAAATTTTATTATCGAGAAGACAACGAGCAGTCCCTTGAAGATAAAACCATCAAAATACGCCAGCTGCTACGTTATATGACGTTTTGTAAGAAAAATCCAATCCAATAAATTCATATTATTGACATATGGCATACGTGTAAAATTTCATTTCGCTATTTTTAGAAGACGAAAAAATATACAAATTTGATGATTTACATTTTGTAGATTGGATTCGAATGGACAAATAAAGTGTCAGTTTCATTCCCAAATTTAATAAAGTTGGTATATGACGCCAGTCTTAGCGGGCTGTCTGGTGTCACTTATCATTTTCATTGTAGTCTGCAGCATTTTGAGTGGAACAACCATGCATACTTGTACACGCATCCTGGCAGTAATTTGCAAAAAATATTGGACAGTATTATAAAGTCAGGTGGATCGGGGAACGCTTCAGTCTTTTTTGTGGTTTGAAATAAACGAGAAATCAACACAGACGTTAGAATTTCATGTTGCATTTTTTTTAATTCACAGACGGATAACGCAGCTAAGGCGTGGTTGATACACTATGCATGAAAGAGTGAAAATAAGGCAAACGAATGACGACTACAACTTTAACGTTAAACAGTTTATATCAACGAAAAATGCTAGGCTGTTCGGATTGGTTTCAAACTATAATAGTCATCTATGATTATCTTTTTTTAAAGCCAAGATAAGTAGCAGTGGTGTTAAACATTGCTCCTATACTATCCTATAGCATATTGTATTGATACTATACCACGAAATATTATAGTTTGATAGTGCCTCGATTGCCAGAATGCTCATTGTGATTATATAGTTGCGGTTCTACTCCGTATATATTTTCATTATACAATAGATCGATTGCATTCAGCCGCCATCTTATAGGTGTGTTTTGTTATGTTAATTCATTGACACTGAATGCCTAAGAGGTCAACTCATGTGTATCCCTGTTGAACAAAAGCACACACTGCAAAAACTGCAGTGTTAAATTTACACCACTGGTATCTATATAGGACCATCTGGTGTTAAATTGTACTGGTGTTGTCCTATATAGATACCGAATGGTGTTAAATTAACACTACAGTTTTTGCAGTGCACACATCAAAGATGGCTGCAGTGCAAACAGTCTATTGAGCCTAAACACAATGCTACTTGTATATTTAAAGCAAAAAAAATATACTTTTTCTTTTGTCTAATTCAGGTATGTATTTACAAGGTATTTAGGGGTTTCATTTAGCATGGCATCGGACAAGTCCGTGTTTCGTAAAGAAGCTTTTTTTGTGTAACTAGAAATCAAATAAAAACGAAATTGATATAACTATAAAGTTGTCAATCTAAGGGTTACTAACAAAGATGGCGACGTGCTACTCGTTGTGATATTCTTTAAAATGCTTTACACTCATTATTTTCATTATAATTTCACATACTTGCTTGCCACTATTAGTAAGTATTCGTATTTACAGTATATTCTTTTAAAAACATAAATCCAATTTTGGAAAATTAATAGCAAACTTTTAAGGCTACAACCTGAAATCAGATATTTACTTGTTAATGGTGATATCAACAGTACAATAATTTTATTTAAAGTAAACTCAAAAATTACAATCTCATAAAGATAACCAAAATAAAAGGTTTTCTATTTGTTCCCATTTCGGTAGACGGTTGTGGAGTCGACTTCCAATAGTTGGATCCAAAATTGACAGTACTGTTATCTTCTTTTTCAATAAATTACGCTAGGATTTGAACATGCACAGCTATACTGTAGTATGTACAGCGAGTTTCGTCACCAATAATGCCTCAATCAAAATATTGAACGATTGCCTTTTTCTATAATATGAAAGAAACTGTGCCTTTTCCTGTAAACGACAATTAACATTACACGCCCTGGAATGTTTTACCACAAGCAGCGATGGGCAGAATGAGAAGCGGAGTACATGACTGGACAATTATCCCTCGGTGAAGTGACGTACAATGTTCTCCAATCATGTGATCACCAACGAGCTGGGGAAAAGAAGGAGGGGGAAATAAGACAACAAATTCGATTACTAGTTCATTATAGCGGCTTAATGAATCTCTCCTTACGGTCTAGTATCGATCCCGTCGATTGTACAGCGAGACAGGGCTGTAGCTTCTGTTCAAAACTTGCACTGGTATCGTCGCAGGTTAACCAGGAAACCCAAAGCGCTGCACTTGGGAATACTTGCGTCCTCCATACTCGAGGAAAATATAAAACAGGAGCAAGATTCTCGCAAGAAGGACGGAAATAACAATCGGCACGAGTCTCTAACTGAGTTACGGGTCTCCTCTCTGCCTCTGATGACGGCAATATCGGTCGCAGGGAACGACGGTCTGAAATAACAGAGCGCGTATCATTGGGAATCAAGCCCGTCCACTGAGCATTATCTCCCCGGGCGTTCCAGGCATGAATCACGGTAGATATAACACCGGGCCACACGGGAGGGAGCGTTGTAAGGACAGATCGCTGTAGAATGGCAACCACCATTCTGTCTTCCAGACAGTTCCAGCTGCAATTATATTTGGCGGATTCCATGTACGTCAATCGCTAATTTCGAATTAAGACAGGGTTACCCTTGTGCCTTTACAATTGATACAGAGGCGCTAACCTAATTAAGCCAGGGACTTTATTGTATTTGGGGCCATGATTTGTTTTGCCAATTAATATTTTTTTGGCTTAGTCGCTCGTTTTTTATCAAACCACCTAGGAATGCCCGAGGAGTACCACGGCCGAGGGTAGTATATCTGAAATTATTTCAGATTTCTTTTATTTGATTAAAGAGCAATGAGTAGTTCGTCCTGCATGCGATGCACAAACGAATTACCGAAATCTTTCATAGGCTTTCAGAATAGTTCTACTATTTCAATCAAAAGGTTTTTTTTATGAAACGTTAGCTTCCGATGTTTCTGGTTGTTCAACGAGAATCCCCTAAATCTAGGGGATAGCTTTCCTCTTTAAGGTCTAAACTTTTGCCGAGAATGGTTTACCCCCTTCCGTCTGAAGAATGTTATTTTTTACATAATGTCTGAAAACAAGACGAGGCTTAATCAAGCTGACCCCAGAGTGCAAAAATGTACATTCAATCGGCTCAGAATGGCTATTCGCTGGAAGTCTTTTCATGCATGAGATCTACGCAACGAGACAGATTTAGCCCACTTGTGGTGTTATCCTATTTCAACATGTTCGGGCCAAGTTGAGACTTAAGCAAGTATACTTCACAAGAGACGGCGAGTCCTAGCCAGTCAGTCAGGTAAAAAGAGGACAATGGGCTGGCCCCTCTGGGACCAGCAAAAATCAACAATTTCCTTCCCTGATGTAAACAAAATAACGCAGTTACAAATCTCACATAAACGCTTCGGGCCAATGTCCTGTATCAATGGGCCTTATTCACGAGTTGGCCATTTTTGTCGAGTTCCCTTTATTTATTTCATTGTTAACTGTTGAATGGGATGGCGCCAGACTATTTATGCAGGCACAATGCAGCCTTATTTTACTGTCATTTTTTTAATCTGGCTTTAAACATTAGGAAATGATTAATTACAAATTTTACATTATCCATTGAAGCATACTGGAATTAATTAGAAATTAACTTGGTTTCATTAGCTTCCCAAGTTCCAAAAATTAAGATTTCACCTCACTTATAATTCAATATGGCGGACTCGTGAATGAGGCCCATTACATCCCTTCTCCTCTTGAAAAGTCCTGAACTTCAGCACCTCACCTACCCCCTCCTCCACCGACCCCTGCCCTCCCTCCCCAACCACCCCACCCCTACCCACCCCCCTTGAAAATCTTATGCCCCTGCCGTTGTAACAACTGACGTTGAGTAAGTCATAAGTATATGCGTGTTATTCTTTCCTCGTCCTAATTACATAGACCGCGTATATCGAGAATAACTGAATTGGCACTTCTTGGTTTAGCATCACCAAATTTTGAAATCAATTTCAGGCGAAGTGGTCGTGGATGGAAATGTGCCGAGTGGATGTTTAATGCATCGCGCATCTTGAACCTGTCTGAGAGTGGGAGCTAATGTATAGTGCTGTAACCAGGTAGGCGAGTGGCGATTCCACAGGGACATGCTTTTGCGGTTATAACCCCCCCCAAAAACAAGACCTTTTATCAAGCCTTAAATTCCGTAATTCCCCAGACTTTTCTCAAAATGTATCCCGCTTAAAAAAAACCCACAAAAATATGATCAATCTAGAGCTACAACTGATGTTAGGAAAGCTAAATTTAAAATGGCTAGAAAATAAATGACATTTTCGTAATAATAATACTGCACGAAAGTTTGATTCCCAGCGTTTTCAGAAGAGTCGCTATACCTAAGTACCATCTGGGATGTTTTGCTCCTCGTCTCTGATTATATACTGCGTTAGATCTTCGAGCTGAAATCAAACTAACCTTTTCCCTGCTCCAGATGCTTTAGAAGGAAACGCACTCATTCTTCTCGCCGGTCTCCCGCGTAAACGTGAAGGTGATTGAGTTATCGTGCTGGCCGCTGGACACCAGCCTGACCACCGACATCTGGCACATGAGTGGGATGGTGATGCCTGTAATACGAGAGATATTAGAGAGACACCAAATGAGGTTTCTAGGTGCCGAACGTGAAAGTACATTTAATGGCACGACATCTGAGATCGTGGCATTATGGGCGAAGTAGAACGACACGCTCGCTAAAACCTTCCCCCCTCCCCCCACAAGGGATAAAATGTAATGCATCGAGTCCCAGAAATAAGAATGTCCCAAAGTTAATTAATATTTACACAAAACATTGGAGGATTCGATGAATTAAACTTCAAAGTGACGTAAGCTCAACCCAGTGTGTACTCATGTTTAACAATCAGTGTGAAGGGGTTGAGATTGGTTTATAAGATCCCCTAAAAGTGGCCCAAAAGAATTGTTTAAAGCACATTCGGGCTGAAACCGTCAAGACCCCGCCCCTAATTCCCATGGAGCCAATCAGTGCATGTCTATAGGGCTTGGGACCACCAGGGGGTAAAATGGGGAGTCATATTAAATAAAATATCTAAAAAGCAATTTAAAAAGAAAAACAAAGTGTTTTTCCCTGCCGACACTTTTTCCTGAAAAGGGGAAAATGTCAGCATGTGGGCGAAGGTCGTTCCCCCGTCCCGCCTCCTCCCCGTTGGATGAGACACAAAAACAACCAATGTCATTCAACTGTTTTATAAACATCCTGCATGACGCACCTGTTCCTTCGCTGGACAAATGTACCAAGAAAGACAAGGATCCATTCACGACCACTTCGGAAAACAAAATGTCAAAGAAACCAAAGTAAATTTAGACAGGTCCCGACTCCCAAAAGACAAAGGCACTCTCTGGGAAAGTTCAATGAGATCCAGGCTGACGTGGTCCCTTGAGATGATGCCGCGCACCTTATCAACATAATTGCGCTGTTGACGTCTTCAAAGGTTTCCACTTGAGAACTCCGATTTGCCTGCGCATATTGCCTGCGCATATTTGATTAACAGATTGGATGAGGCGAGGCAGCCTTGCGTGACACAGCTGCACCCTCAAATTGCAAAATGCAAATTTGACAGCAAAATGGCAACTCCATGACAACGGGGAAATAAAATCGCGGCATTAAAAGACCGCGCACGGGCCTCAATCGCCAAGCCCTATGTGGCATGTACCAGCCCCCCCCCCCCCCTTACCCCAAGGGCAACGAATTGTCAGCGAATTCTCTTGTTGTTTTCTATAGTCATCATTGAATTAATTTGGGAAGGACACCACCAATGAAGAATTATACAGTGAGCAGGATTGCTGCAATATGTGATGATTGCCTATAAATCCCGAGTGGTATTATGATATTACTCTTGCCCCAAGCCACGTTACGGGTTTGACAATCGTGTAGTTTCCTTTACCGGATTGTAAGTTTTGTCTGGATGCCTGAGCCGATGACTGATGAGTAGCAGATCCCCTTAAAGCTCCAGCAAGTTTGAGCACTGGGAACACAAAACCAATTTTCTTTTTGTGTACACACAGGTATACAACGCGGAGGGCCTAAATTAGATCTATACACCGCCAGCGCATTATGTCAGCAAACTTGAGAGCACTCGATTCTCAGGACGTGTCAGTCGGAACATATGCGACACAATTTCCTCAATCAGAAATCCCAAACAAAGCAGATGCATCTCTTCAAATCTCCACCCACGATCTAGTCTACAAATACAATCATCGTAACCGCGTATAAATTATATAGGCCTTGTCTCAGGGTTGCGACCGGACGGAACGGGCAGGTGGAACGGAATCGAATTGGAAGTGCCGCCTTGTTCTATAAATGGGTAAAACGGCGGGTTACGCGGATTAGCTGAATCTGGTAAAAAATTCGCCCATCCGTGACCTTAAACGGGCAGCTGTTTTTATCTGATAAATGTCGCGCACCAGTCAAAATTATCGTATAGGAGGCTGTCATAAGATAGACAGCCTGTTCTGTCTATCTTGTGGATAACATGCGGAATGCTAAACAATGTTAACTTATTAAGTTACGCGGTGATTGACTAAAAATGTTTGTCCTGAGTGACATACGGTGCCCGTGATGTCATTTTGAAATGTTTTTTTTCCAAGCCTAACCAAACTGGGGCCCGTGTTCATTCGGAAAGGTCAACAAATGTCGGACTAGAATCGTGTTTTTTAAAATTATTATCAGGATTTTTTTTTCTATTTGCTCCGAAAACTTGGTTCACAACCCTTTCTTCCTGCATATATATGCATCCGAGACACTGATAGAAAAAAAGGCAGCCATAAGCATCGGTTGCTTTACGAAGATTTTTGCTTTTGTCGTCGTCTTAAAGTGGAAACTTTGACATAGCCATCGCACGACTCACGTAAAAAAGTTATTCACCAAAAACAAACTTGTTGGAATTATGTTAAACGCTTATCGATCTGAGACTGCCTAGTAAGTCATGTCGCGAAAATAAAATCAACTTGCTTCACGACTGCCGTATTAGGGCTGAAACTTTGTAGTCTGCACCATAAACACTTAAATTCTCAATTTAAACTTTAGATGAAAAAAATGTCCACGCATTGGAAGTTTTGTTAACGTCGTGTTGCTTCCCTTTCAGTATTGTACTGGTTCTACTCTGGTCACCGTTCACAGGAACTGAAATCTATCATGACCAAATCTCACACACATCATCGTTCTATACGAGATCTGCCACCAATGCTCATAATTCTGTCTCGCACTGTATCCCACTCATATCCTTCATTGTCCGCACATCCAAATTGTGGAACTCTCTACCACAATCATGCTACCCACCACCCTACAACCCACAGTCTTCCAAGAGCTTCATCAACAAGCTCGATCTCACATCACTTCCCTAGTCATGCTTCTTGTGTCCAGAGTGCGTTTGGACTACAGGGTGAGTAAAAAAAAAATTTAAAACCCAAATGTCGGGACCATTGTTTTAGTGAAGTTCTGCATGTAGCATTTTCAAAAGTTAGGATATAAAAGCCCAATTCATAAGCTTTCTTTTAGTACAAGAATCATTCAAATCACTCATGTACTTTTTAAGTTACGGAGTTTTAAACACAACCGCAGTTTTAAGGTTCTGTCCACGGATCACCAAAAAATTCAGTGTTCTTTCAGCAAAACGAAAATGAATCACATAAAGATGTGTGTGAATTGTTTTCGTTTTGCTGGAAGAACGCACACCTTTTTTTGTGATCCGTGGACAGAACTTTAAAACGGTGGTTGTGTTTAAAACTCCGTAACTTGAAAAGTATTTAAGTGATTTGAATGATGTTTTTACTAATAGAAAGCTTATGAAATGGGCTTTTATATCCTAGATTTTGAAAATGCTAAATGGAGAACTTCACTGAAACAATGGTCCCGACATTTGGGTTTCGTTTTCTTACTCACCCTGTATAGGTGCTTCCTGTCTGTTCTCGGCATTATCTACTAAAAAGAATAGCGTGGGCTTTATTTACCTGATGTGCACTGGGCCCTCTTTTTGTAGACCAGTGACGCGGCTGTACCGTCCCGTCCGTGGAGCGCATCAGCGGGCGAGGGGACAGCACCCTCGGGGCCAGTTGGCGATTTTCCCCCGGTGCGGCCGCACATCCTCTGCTCGATGTTCATCTTGCTCAACTCAAGGGAGTTCCCCTCAGCGAACTGAACCATGTCGGTCATACCCTTGCACTGTGCATGGCAAAGCGATAGTGGACAATTATATAGATTGTGTCTTCTTCTTCTTTTCCGAATTGAATTTCCTATTTTGTTCCCCCATTAGTAGGATAAATTAATGGAGGATGGAGGACCCCCCCCCCCCCCATTCAAGGCCTGTGTCCTCTATGTCCCACCCCCGCTCAGAATCCAGGGGGAAGCAAAAGTTAGTTTTCATGGTTGAGTACTCATTGAGTGCCCCTTCCAGAAAATGACGTTCCGTTAACCAATATTGTCACCGGTAAATTTGATAATTGTACTATGCCTACATAATAATTTTATTCAATTTAGTAAAATTCATATTTGTTACTTATGGCATGTTTGCAATGGAAACAAACAAACAAACAAACAACCCAACACCCCAATGAACAAACCTTAAGTCTGGCCTCGTTGGTCTCTCTCCCTACGGCCATGTGCAGCACGTTGATGTAGCCAGGGTAGATGGTTGCGAAGGAGCAGTTCTTCTGCTTATTGAAGTTGCTTAGTGTGAAAGCCCCCGAGGAATCCGGGCTGAAGATGTTGCAAGCTGGAAACGGAGCAAATATAAAAAAAATTCGGTAAATTAAAACAGTGAACTCAAATTGGGCAGAATAAACTGCTAAGCGGATTGTATATGTGTTCAGCAAAAACAAAAGTCAGCTTGTTGCTAGCCATAAGCAAAGCATTTCCAAGGACCCTTTGGCACGTAGTCCTTTTTTAAGCAAATATCTACTGTGCTTAGTATTTTTTTTATGGCTAGCAGCTCGGGTAAAACTGTCCAAAGATTACAATTCTCCAAAAGCAAAATAGGACAAATGGCCGGCCGGGCTTATTTCGGCCCAAATTCTATCTCCAAAGATGAAAGCAGTACAGTTGTGCATTCTCCACCCATTCGTACAATAACACAATACCTTGTAACTAAAATACAATTTCTTTCAAAACTCTCTTATTGGCAAAGTATGTGAGAGCAAAATAATGCTCAGCTTCGCCAAAAGCTAACGGTGTATTTGAGGCTATTAACTTTCAAGTAATCATCGATTGTCCATGAACATCTTGAACAAAACAGGGTGGGGAATTGAGACCCCCAAAAAAGTCACACGGTTGTGCTAAATAATTATGAAAGTCTGGGGTTTCACAATGATAATGTGCATCTTGCGTCCAATGTACAGGCTTTCAAAAACGATTCCACCCACTCCAACGTAACGACCTGGTTATTTTCATCAAAGTCAAAACCCTTGTCGTTACTTGAGACCGTACTAATATGAAGACTCTTCCCACACAGCGATTTAATATAGATGGCTGATCGCCAGTCACGACTAACAAGCCACAATACAAAGAAGTCTCGAAGGATGAGAAATCTAAAATTGTGGCATTCTACTCACAGTGCATACATCACTGTTTGCACTTGACGTTGAGTGCTCAACCAATATTATTCCATCCCATCAAATCAACGTAATTTAATTTATTTATTTATTTACTTTAGTAGTTTTCTATCCTCACTAAAAACAAGCCCGCATGTTGCTTTGCCATACTCTCTTTATTTCCAAAAATCACCGGTGTTGCAGTATAATGACAGCGTTCAAAGACGCGAAGTAAGTGTTTTATACTGCTGCTTCATTATTCCACTCTGGAGAACCCTATGCCAAACCTAGACAGAAAGTCAACCACAATCAACTACGAACCATTATACAACGGCTTCAATTCCACGACTTGTTTTAATGCACGATATGGCTCTGACATTTAAATGTCGCCCGGGCGTTCATACTTCAAAGCCTATTAGGTTTCTAATACATCCATTATCTCACGAAATTAAGACGATTATTACTATAATAGCCCCAATCTATAAGCACACCAGGGAGATATAAATAATTGAAAGATACGTCATGCATAAAAACCCTTTATAGTTACATCTTAGGCGGATGAGGGAGATGGGTTTCACGTACCCTTTACAGTGGAACAGAGTCTGCTATTTTAGGCGGCAGCAATATGCGCGATGTGCGATGGTATTTGGTTAATCCCATACCAAAAATAATGCATATTTTTTATATAAAGATACACTCTTTAAAAGTCATCAAATGTAAAGAAAACAGGCGATTCTACACCTACAGACTTCATGTATATGTACCCGCAGTCATCTGAGTGCAAGTTTGTTTTCCACTGGCAAATCTAGCTGCGGTATTTAATAAGCAAGTGTAGGTGGGAATTTGATATGATTCGTAATAAGCGACCGATCTGTTTGTGACGAGAGTTTCTCTGTAACCTTTGTATCTGTGTGATGTTTTATCACACATGACTGAAGTCTGGTTAGAAGTATTATTACTGTTCTCCCCTGAGATCACAGCTTTGATATTGAGATGACATTTAGAACGTGCAAGTTGGATGACATGAAGACAAAAAAACACGAAATGTTGCGAGAATATAATTACGAGACTACTAGGTACATCCAACAGGAACCCACAACGGACGCGGCATCCTTCTTTTTTTATAATAAACATTTTGTCTCTTGACTAGACTTAGCATTCAAACCGTAATGAATAGATTCTACGGGGGGGAATGAAATATTAGAGTTTACAACTTTAAGTATTGGCGATGTTGAAAGAAAAATGGCGGTAAAATGGACATCAACTTCCGACATATAATTATTAACATTATAGGTAAAGATACGGAGTCCGTGGTCGGACAAGACCTTTGCACATGCAGTTAAGTCAAAAGTGAAGGCTGCCATTGTCTTTGATTTGCAAACGTCATCTGGTGTTTTTTTTTCTTTGTTTCAATATGGGGATTCCACGTATGAAGCTAATTGAAAGCAAAATATGAAAAAGAAATAATTGCCAGGAAAACTCTAGGTCGAGTTGATAAAAAAGAGCAATTCACCAGGGTTCGACCCTAACTTTATAGTTCACCAGCCAGCCGGGCTACTGAAACAGACTCTTAACCAGCCCGCGGGCATGTTCACTAGCCTGCATGTATTTTCTTTCATATTGTCTCATGTAAAACGTGGGCCTGAAAATGACCCCTGGTGGCCAGGCCCGGATTACCCAATAGGCACAGTAGGCACTGTGCCTAGGGCCTGCGAAAAATTTGGGGGCCTACGAAAACTTGGGGGAGGGCCTACGAAAATACCGCAGTGTACCATAACTGACGCTGTACAGCATGTATGCATTGGCCCTACGTATAAAATGTACGTGTAAAGTCTGTCGTTCTGAAGCACGATGCCAACCATGGGCGTCGATCGGTGGGGAACGGGGGGACTGATGTCGTTCTCCAACGTTTTTCGTCCCTGAATAAAAATACGTAGCCTACATTTGATTTTATAGCTCAGAACAGCTGGTTTAATGACTCCAAACTCGAAAAAGATATTTAAATGATGATCTTGTGATAAAACTTTGGCAGTCGTAAAAATTGCCTCAGATCGCACCACAGGACGCCTAGAATCCATTTTTTTAGGGGCCCTTAAGTGGGCCCCGAACCCCGCGCCGTTTAGGCTTCGCACTCGCACAATTATTAGTACTGATCAAGATACACATGTATGTACCACCCCTACTTTGAGAAGCGAATGACGCCCTCGAGAATTGGTGCCAACAGGCTGTTAGAGCTAGGACCTACACCAGTTTGGCCTGGCTTGATTTGTACAGTCCCCCCCCCCCCCCCCGACAAAAGTGTGCTCTGGATCCGTCTTTGTAGCCCCACTCCCAATAGGCCTAATCTACAGGGACACAGTTGTATTATGTGTTTTTTTTTGACAGGGACATTTTCCGGTATTAAATTACATGATTTTCGCAGTGTATCCAACTTCAGGCGTTGATTACTCATAACATGGTTTTGGGGGACATTCCTCATTTTGCCACATTAGGTCACAAATGTGCCCCCTCGAGATGAAAATAAAACAGCCCTCAAATGCACATGAAAGCATTATGATCGCGTTTAAAAATGATCTCCTCTCTTATAATGCAAAAGTGTCCCTCAAAAACACAAATACCCCTCGCACATTAACAAGATTGTGAACCTTCTCGAGATGGAAAACTATCCCTCGAAAACACGAATGACCCCTATCGCAATACAACAATTTGTGCCCCTCTCAAAATGGAAAACCGGCCTCGTTGGCTCTGTGCGCCGTCATCAGGGGCGTATAATATTCCCGGGGTGGGAGTGGGGTGGGGTATATATACCCCCACACTTTTTGACCGCGGGGATGGGCTATTGAATCATCCGCCACTTTTTGGTGATAAGAAAAAAAAGAGGATTTTGAGGAACTTTCCGAACATCCCAACAATTAAAATGTATTCAATAGCACTGGAAAGTGGAGAAACAAAGTACAAAAGCTTTTTAAAATTTAAGCGCGGGTATACATAATTGATAAAGAGCGTCCCAGTATAATGCGGTGTCCAGCCCCCCCCCCCCCTTTCGAATGCCCACGGCTGGGCAATTTGGGCGTTTCATGTGCCCCCAAGAGTTTGCCACGGAGAGTTCATTTTTCCTAGTGCATTGTGGAAAATGGTCGACAAATTCGCAGCGCGGAACATTTGAAATTGTTAGATTTTTTTTCCGGTCAGTAGTTTCGTAAGCGTATGATTCGAGTATAAATTTGCCTTTTTCTTTTCTTTGTATCAATATGGTGTTTTAGTAAGGCGGCAGAACGCTATACCCGAATTTATAACCACTTAGCTAAAGTTGTTTAAATGACACTCATTCAAATGGGCCTTGTTTTGTCGACCGTAATTTGAAAAACTGACTCTCCATTACAAACTCTTGGAGCGCACTGCATTGTGAATCCCCGAATTTGATGATTTTGGTCATCCCCCCCCCCCCACTCGCCAACACACAGATTTACGCCACTGGCCGTCATTGCACTCGCGTGGTCACGATTCTAATCATGCCACAGGCTGACGTTAATGTGACATTGTATTATAATGGCATCATTCCCTAGACTTAGCGTAAGTACAAGAAAAGATGAAGTTTCCCAAGCTATAGCTAAGGGAGCTGAATTAGAATTAGACAAACAAAATTCCCTCGTTAAAATGTGTAAACGGGTCAGTAGTTTGATATAAATATAATGAGGTGGGGGAAACTTGCTAGAATTTCTCTCAATCATAGCGACATGTCAGTGCCGGCCGAAAGACGCGCGATGCGAAACAATAATTGATGAGACAGAATAAGGACGAGCTTGGTAAGGTTAATTGCTCGTAGTGACTCTTTTGAATAGTCAACTGCTCGGTACTTAAGAATGATTGTAGAAAAGAGTTACGTAACAGCATTCATTGTATATAGCACGATGCTGATGCATCTTTCGTGCAGCTATGAAACACAAAGTAACTCTCCCACTGCGGAAATAAGGATTAAGTTTAAACGCAAAGAGAAAAGCACCTACTGAAACAGCCTAGTTGTTAAGCTGTCTGACAGTGGACCCAGGGTTAGGGGTTCGAATCCGCTTGGTGTCATTTTTTTTGGTTTTCGATGCCCGCGGTTCTGTCATTTAAGAGTATTAATTTCCCGTCGACATTTACCAACAGCAGTTAGCTCGGTCGGTCGGTAAGCTGACTCACAAGTTGGGACTGTCTGCGAAGTCCAGGTTGGCATCTGCGTATAGGTACGGGGTTCTTTTGCTGACTCGGCAGCAAGGCTTAGGGTGCCACCTCGTTTCCTCCCTTTATGGTGCCTGACTTTCGAGTTACATGGATGGACAGGGAAGGAGGTGTGGTGGGCCGGGTACCGAGTCCCAGAAGAGTTCTATATGGAAGTCGGTAAGGGGCTCATTGAGTTAGGGTCATAAGTCCGACTCCTGAAGACTTGGCCATCGCCACATAACTTTTTGTTTTATTTTCTTTCTTTTCTATTGGAGGACAATTGCAAGAATGATTAATTTGTTATATTGAGAGCTTGTACTGTAATCGTTCGAAATTAATTTTTAAAATTGCTCGAAAATACAAAATTCAATCCAGCTATGATGTTTTTATTTCATTGTCGCAAAACTGCATGTACATGCTCATACATGCGCATACCTTGTTCAGGCCTGTTCCCTGATCCCAGACTGCAGGGGGGGTCTTTAAATCCTATAGTGGATTTTTTTATATTTTTATATTTTTTATATGCACAGCCGTAGCTTTCAACGCCCGTATATGAAGCGACTTCGCGAGGCAGCTTGTGCCGACATGACAGAATGCACAATCTTTTGACATGGGTTTCAGAACCGGATTTTAGCTTCGCGGAGTTTTGAGCAGCGGCATTTATTATTTACATTCTCCACTTTGTTCTTATTCCCTCTTCCTTTCTCATTCCTTCTCTATTCTTCGGAACACTGGTGCCTAGGCCCTACGAAACACTTTACCGGGCCTGCTGGTGGCGCTTCAGGGCCCCTCGAAAAGAATAATTTATGTGTAAAAGTCAGAGTTTTTAAAATTAGTTTGGTATATTGATTTCTTTAAAAAAAATCACCCGTGGAATTTTATGGAAACTGAAAAATCGCATGATGAGAAAGAGAAACATCCTGCAAAAAATGGACCTGTCACTTCCGAAAACTTCCGTGTGGACTCGTGGAACTCGATCACTCGTTTAAGCATGAATATTCATGGAATAATTTTGTGGCAGACAATTTTTTTTGAACAAACTTGAAGGATTTATTTTTATTTACAAACAAATCTCAAATGACCGTTGATAAGAACTGTATTAAAATGTGATCCAAACGAAATCTAGAATCCATCAGATACAGGTAGGTATTAAAATCTTCGCGTTGTATCATTTTCGTTCTCACGCAAGTACGCGATGTGATAACAGACGTGATCGAACAAAGAGACCTAGGTACGAAAATAGGTCGTAGGTAAAATTCGCTTTTACCCATTTCCAACTGATTTCTCATCTATTCTGAGGCAATTTTGTCAGTGTTTTAATAAACAGATCTTATAACTTAACCCGTTAAAACAGTTGATAAAATTATACACAAATTGATAGGTGTGATTTCTGAATTTCATGATTTATTTCTTCCTGTCCTTTCATCTTTGCCGTATCCCAATAATTTTGAACTCGCCAGCCGGGCTACTTAAGGAATAGTTTGACTAGCCCGCCGCTGTTTTGACTAGCATTTGGCTAGCGGGCTACCGCTAATTTCGAACCCTGAATTCACATATTGCAAATGTGGGAATCGAACCAGGGACGCCAAAGCTAAAGGCTGAGAAATGAACCACTGCACAAAACTGATTGTGATTGTGAGGTCAATATTGCTGGCCACACCATGGATCAAACCAGAGGTTGTTAAAAGATTTAGACCAAGATTCTTAAAACTGCTAAGCATAGAGATTTGTTAAGCAAAAAAAATTGCAAAAGCTAGGTTACCAACCAAAACTGCCACAGAGTGTACATTGCCCCTAACAGGTTCTCGGCTGATTCATGCTTAGCACTTAAATCTGCTAAGCCCAAATTACTGCTAAAAACCAGCTCCACGAATAAAGGTTCTGCAACAAATAAATCTATGTGTTTTTTTTGTTTTGTTTTGTTTTGTTTTGTATTTGTGGAGGTGTTTCATTCTTTCTTTTTGCTGGACCCAGAGGGGCCAAGCCTGTCCTCTTTGCACCTCAATGACTGACGTGCTGTCACTTGTGAACCGGGCAGTGCAATCGTATAGGGTAACTCCGTAACGCCAATGAGTGGGCTAAATCCGGCCCAATGTGTTCACAGATGCATGAAAAGACTGCATTCATGTGAATAGCCTTCTGCTTCTGAATCAATTGAATTTATTTTTATTTATTTTATTTTATTTATTTATTCGATAACCAACAGCGGAGACCCACCATTTACAGGTATCATGAAAAATAGATGTACATTGTACATATATTCATAATTAACATTACAATTAAAATTAAACAAATATACATGACACATTCTTAATCAACGGGAAAATTAACCATTACTGATAAAAAAAAATTACACCAAACAAACAAACAAACAAACACCCCCAACAGACAACCTACAAAACAAATATATAAAACAGAAAAATTTAATTACGTTAATTAGATTAAAAATAAATTTAAAATAAATTAAAACTAAATTAAATATTAAACACAGACGAACAAACGAGCAAACAAACAAACGACCCAACACCCCAACAAACAAACCGACAACAGACAGACAGACAGCCCAACAGACAGACAGACCAACAACAGACTTACACCCTAACAAACTAACAAATTATAAAATAGAATTATGCGGGTTCTGGGACCATAGGCTTGCTAACTGTGTTGTTTTTAATATTACTTACGGGCTTGGATGGTCTTGTGTTTGAATATCAACCGGAATGCCCCGCCATTGGCTGGTGACTGGTACGTTAGCATGGCAACGTTCTGAGAAGACAAGAGCACACGGCTGCCGGTGTTGCACACCATATTGACCCTCTCTTGAACCGGCAAGTCGTGGCCAGCTTCGGTCGGGAACACACCAAGCTGCAGGGCGACTCCATCGAAAAACTGTAGACATAAACATTACAGAACACCATATAATAATGTTGTCAAAACACTCACTGCAAAGAATATGTCCCCATTTTATATTGTACAATTCACATAAGTAGTTTTCTATATTTTACTTGACAAATATTTCCTGAATTTTTATTTATTAATATGAGGATAATAACCAATTTCAATACAGAACACATTCAATTTAAAAAGGGAATTTCGTCAGTCGTGTTTACTATTTAACGCCAAAGAAACCTAAGTAACTTTGGAATTCCTACTTTCGTATGTTCAATCCTGGTCTAACGGTATAAAGTGGAACGGTTTGAATGGTTCGGTCAAAACCAAAACTTTAATTTTGAAAAAAATGAAGTATGATTTTCAAGTTTGTAATGCTAATCATGCTCCAGCCTTGAAGTTTGTACAGCAACATAAAATACCAAAGTTCTGGGTTTTTTTTCTCATTTCTTAAGACCAACCTCAACGAATGAATCTTCTGCGCATGGGTAGTCCAGCTCCGTGATTTCTAATTCGACCACAGCGCTTGGCCCAGTCAGGAATAGCCACGTGCACATCATCGCCTCAGATGATTGGACGAAATACTCGCCTGGTTGGCTGATGACGTCATAAGGGCACTCTGCAAAACAACAACACGAAAATGATGCTCATTAATTGGCCATACAGAAACATCGCCAAGAAGAAAAAAAACCTCGACATTGCGTTCCGAATGACAATTTTGTAATGATATACGTGCCTTTTCTTAATTTTTATGAATTATTGTTTTTTAAGATCTGGCCGTGTTGCAAGAAGTCTTGCATGACAGTTTTGCATGACATGATCAAAATGATCCCTTCCAGAGGTTTAAAAATGCGACACCATAAGATGCGACGCCGATGGCACATATAAAGCACCACACTTATGGTACATTTTCGGGACCGACAGACAGACCATCCGACCGACCGATCGACCGACCACCAAGTGACATGTAGAAGCTCCTGCCAGAGCTTAAAAATAGGAAGTGGTAAGAGAAACCCTGAAAATCTCCTGTTGAAAAGAACCAGGTTCTTCTAGAACCTCCTATAAGAGAATATAAAATAGGCATCATGAAACCCCTTAAGAAGATAGAAAATAGTTAATAGAAAATAGGTAGTGTTATTTGGTACTCCCAAGGAGGATAGAAAAAGTGCGAGTGCACAATAAGCTCTGGCCGTGTTGCAAGAAGTCTTGCATGGCAGTCTTACATGAAATCGATCAAAATGATCCATGCCAGAGCAAAAAATGAAATCGATCAAAATGATCCCTGCCAGAGCTTAAGAATGCGACGCCGAAAATGCGACGCCGATGGCACATATGAAACACCATACTTTTGGTCAATTTTCGGGGACAGACAGACAGACCGACCGACCGACCGACTGACTGAACACCAAGTGACATGTAGTAGCTCCTGCCAGAGCTTAAAAATATTGCAAAGGTAAAATATAAATGTGGCGTTATAGGTAAAGGAGGTTTCTTGCCAACACGTACTATTTATATTCTTAGGAAAGTGCATTTTTTTTTAAAGGAAATTGCCACTCCGCGCATGCGCAAAAAACGTGCGTTATGATTGAAGGATATAGGGCGTATCAATCTTTCATAAAAAAAACACACCCGATTTCTCAATTAACATTTAGATAGAAAACGAAGCAGAGAAATAACTGAAGGGAAAAAACGAACTCCCGCGTGCGTGAAATTAAGCGTAAAATCAAATCACAAAATACATGGAGGCTAATGAGGCATTCGTTATCACATCGCGCGGAAAAACGTGTTGGGAATATCGTATGCTTGTATGCTTCCCGTGTAATGTTGGTACAGGTGTCTTACACGAGACGGGCCATTAGATAACTGTGAAAGTGGTTTGGATCACTGCATTAGTCGTGTCCTTTTTCTCCGAGTCTGAAAACACTGAAATATAACGTAATGCAGTAGGAGTTAAGCCTGAGAAACTATAGACAGTGCGGTCATAGTGCTTGGGTTTTGGATTATGGGGAAGAATCTCATGACAAACCGCAAAGGCCAAAAAAAAAAGTCTCCGGTTTCTGGTATGCGCGCGCGTCGCCGTAGCCATGCGCGTCGGCAAAAATGAAAAAGTTTTTTTTTCAATGAAAGATGATGTCTCAAAACCGCCAAACTCACTGGTTTGACTGGAATCCTGCTGCTGCACAATTTTAACGTGTTTTTGAATGGGGTTATGATCGAGAATAAGCTTTATGTGGCCTCTCTGGACTCCCATATATTTGCACTAAGTTTAGTCGGGCACCATTTGCAGTCATCAGCCGACATTTTGAGGCAAAAAAATCATTTGGGGGCCAAATGCTATCGTTTTTGTTTACAAGTCCTCGGAAACTGGCATAATTTCACTTTATAGCCCTGCTTACAAGAGAATTCCCCGCTTATGGTCACCATTCTCTGCTAACAATAATATTAATAATGTACATGTACATGTACATGTGTGCGTTGTCTATAGGGGAGACCGGGGATGGAAGTTACACGGGTAAGTTGTTACAGTTCTCAGTGTGCAAAGCAGGAACAGGAGAGGGCGGGCTTACTACCATCCATATGTTGCCTACGGGTAGCTAGGGTATACTGCTGATCGAGAGCTTTCTCCAATCTTCTACTCAAAAAGTAAGTAAAAAAAACCTTTTTTGTCCTTTCTTAGTAACTTTCTGACAAAACTTGAATTTCGTAATAGCTCTAACAACTGGAGGCGCATAACGCTAACTTGATATTGTAAATATAGTAAATTTAGGTCACTCATATATCCCCAGGTCATGACCTGTAATTCTGCCTGAAGGTTGAGTTACAGTAGATTTTATGTGTAAAATACCCTACGGGGTAGGTTGTTACACTGTAACAACCTACCCCGTGTCAATGTAACAACTTACCCCAATTACATTTTACGTATGTTGAACTATATTTTGTGTATATTTTCAGCTGTAAATATTTCATTTGTCTGTTTTGCTTTACCTACAGAATGAGCTACTGTATTAATGATGCCAAGAACCTACAAAAGGAAGACAGGTGTCTGGAATGTGATGACTTGTTTTCCAACTCTGCACCTGGAGAGCAATGGGTCCAGTGCATGGAGTGCTCAGGATGGTCCCATACAGAATGTACAGGAAAAGCTACCTGTGTGATGAATGCGAATTGATGAACACAGACAGTGACTAAATTGTCGGTGATCCTTATCGATCACAAAGAGGCATTTTAGCTATATTTCAGGTGTTTCAAATTAAAACAAATGTCCAGTTTATTGCTTGAATGAACAAGTTGTTACTTAATTATACACCTTAAGTGACAAAGCAGTTGCTTTCTTGATAGTAGAATGGGATGGTATTTACTTTTGTACCACACAATGAGGTATATAAGTTGTTTACATATTGTAACAACTTACCCCTGTGGTGTAACAACTGTGTAACAACTTACCCCGTATGGTGTAACAACTTACCCGGTATGCGGGGTGGGTTGTTACAAAAATTTACCTTCATTAATTAATTAGTAGTTAATTAGTTGTTTGATGTTTTCTTGTTTTGTATACTTCAGGTTATAGTAAACATAATGGGCTACCCACATACCCAAGATGGAGTGTTAGAGTTCTTTCATTACAATTATTTGGCGCAAAATGTAAATTTTGTAACGTTCATCCCCGGTCTCCCCTAACCATGAAGGCCTGTAAGCACCGACCATTAAGTTACGGGATGCAGGCATGTGAACAAGCTAAACACGCTAACCCGTGATATATACGGTGGCCGTAAGCGCGGGACTTTCTGCTACTGTTGGCCAGGATTGTTCTGTTTACGCATTACTCATAAAAGTTTCTATGCAAGGTACTGGTAACGGAGTTTTGTTATTTGCTTTTAGTATTTTAGCAGAAAAAAATGTATGCTTGGGTTTTATAGGGGCCATTCCGCACTATATATGGTTTCATCGTCCTATGACCATTTGGTATAGACCTTATACGTAGCAGCCATCTTAGATTGCAATGCCTTTGTTTTGCTGGGATATGCATGAGAGAACCCTTTGTGTATGTTACTGAATTAAAATAACAAAAGATGCCCTCTAAGAGTGGCCACTTCGCATAAGGTCTACTATTTAACGCACTTAAGCTTCAGGGAACCAGACCGCTTCTGTTTTGTCAACTGTCAAAAGTATAAACTTTTTAACAAAATTTAATTTAACAAAAGTTACATATTTTGATCCGAGTGCAAAAACATCTAAGGTTCAGCCAGTCGAAAGCATTTTGGCCCAAAATGCAAAGGTGAACGTGCACAATACAGTATTTGGTTTACTGAATACGTGCGTGAAGAAAGGAAATGTTCTCACTTTTCACGTATCATTTCAGTAATTGTTTCCAAAGTTCAACCCGTCGATTTGAAGTCCATTATTTCTATGAGACTTCAGTAAATAAATGACAATTTTTTCTGCCCTTGTTTTTTTTTTTAACCACGCCGACGTGACACCAAAAAATGTGGCCGTGCCCCGGGACCCATTTATTGCCATCATTTACCGGCAAACTGGGTCGCAATTAGCAGGAGGATTGTCTCGATTTCTGACTGTTTTGTCACGATCGGGCCGTGTTCTCGTTAACCATTAGGTACCATATCAGAAATTTGGTGCGCGGTAGTTACGAAAACTGGTCACGGTTGCTAGCCGTCAGAAAGCGCAGGTCCCCGGTCGACGGACACCAGCATGACCGGACGAGGTTTATCACAATTCTCTATGTTTTGTTCCCAACATGCGAGCAGTGGTGATCACCCCTTGTGTCTTACACAGAACAAATTTTAGAAGGACAAATCTCTGGTTCAGTTGAAAGCTCTCGCACATTAAAGACCGGGAAGACAGGATATCTCATTTCTTTACTTAAACAACTCTGCGCCTGCCCTTTTTTTTTTCCTCTACAGAAATGACGCACATTCTTTCATGCTATCTCACAAATATAATACTGGCTCATACGCAAATATACTGACGTCGGAGTTGGAAATAGTGAAACATCTTGCACCCCCAAATTAACACAAAGTACATTTGACAGTGGGCAATTTCACCTTATACAAACCAATTTAGATGAGTGATACAAACATACATTTTCTGAGAGGTTTGCGTTCCCAACGAGAATAACATGACAATGTTACTTTTTGTTGCATCTTGAGTTCCTTGATGGGGTGAGAGGAGCTACATCATTATCCCAAATGAAAAAAAAATATTGAATGAATTATTCGTCCCAACGAACGGCGCGGCCGCACGGCAAACTTAGAAGTTCCATTCCGCGGTAAATGAGAGTTCCATTGCACGGTCACACCTTTTGGCGGCTCTGACCAATCAGATGACGAGGATTTTATTCAGGTGTTGTATAAAACAAATAAAGAATGTTTCACATTCGTGCAATGGAAAGAATAATTTCATTAGGTGACATATGGAATGTTCCATTTCACTCGGCTTCACGTCGTGAATGCAGCATTTCCATCTGTCACCTCATGAAATTATTCTTACCATTGCACTCACAAACATCCATTATTTGTATAATGTTCGATTAATAGCTCATCGCTTGACTGCTGGAGACTGTCATGGCTTGTGGTTGATTTGATCCGATTAAAAATCAGATTTTAACTTTGTTTTGACAACATATTTTCTCTCTTTAACACCTTAACAGATTCTCGGAACATTAATTGTAATAATAATTTAATAATAATTTGGGAGGCTAATCATCCTTACTCGCAGCTGGTATGCTGAATTGCGAAGGACGCGGCTACAACGTGGTCGGGCCGCTGGCACGTAAAGGCGCCTATTGCTGCCGGCCACACCTACCCATTATGACCACGGAGCACAGCCTGAGATCGAAAGTGTTCGATTTTTCCCGGAGGGAGGAAAACCGGAGAGCCCGGAGAAAAACCCTCGTGGCACAGGAGAGAACCAACGCACAACTCTACTGACATGTGATTCGCGGCCAGGATTCGAACCGTGGTCACCTTGGTGAGAGGCGAGCGCTTTACGCACAAGCCATCAATGCCACCCTAAATTGTACTAATAATATTACTGTAACAAAAGTACCTACCCATTTCTGTGGCACTTGATGAACTGGTAGTCTTAACAGGAGCTTCTCCTCGACGAAAAACTCTCATTGCCGACTGGTCGAATCCAAAATACCGCTCCTACAAAGTAAAAACAAAAAACCAAAAATCCATAAATCATCCATTAATTAAGAACTTTGGCATTTCAATAACAAAATATTTTCGTTTAAACAGTGGCAATACAACAACCGGTAGTGCCCCTAATTTCATAATACATCACCAGATACGTCACCCCCAATATGAATTATGCAATACTTGAATTTATGGCGAGATTGCGCATCACAGCATGTTAAAGTGTAATACCCTACGAAATTCGGCCTAAGGGTGCAACCCTGTATTAAAATTTCCATAGACACCAGTGCTAAATGCCCATACTTCAACATTCTTTTTAAAATACTCAGATTTTTTTTGGTGGTTTGACCATTGACTTTTCGAGATATTCTCACCCAAAGAAGACGACCCCTATTTCCCCCAAAGCGGAAGAGTAGCCATCTTGAAAAACGATCCCTCCACAACATGGCAAAGCAGCGCCACTTTCGAGCCCAATTGCATCCAAACTGCTCAGAATTGGAGCCTCAAGTCCGGGTAAGAGGTTCATTGCCATATCATGCTCTTCCCATCGCCAATTTTATGGCTCTCAGAACTCTCTGATACAGAATATTTTGACGGTATAACGGTGAATATAGTTGGAGTACAAAAATACTACTTCTTGCTTTATGGCAGACGAAAACATTTCACAGTTTTTGTTTTTGTCCTGTCTTCGACTGAAGTTTTGTTTAGTTAGTTGGTTTGTCAATTATTTGCACAAGTGATATTTTAGATGAGTTTGTGATTGACAGTTTTACCGAGCTCTATAACAGATCACACGGGACTCGGTGAACGTGGTAACTAGGGGCGGTTTACTCTTACCCGTCAAGTTGTTATTAATTTGTACGATAGAAAGCTTTGTGTAAGAATAACCGGACCGCTTGAACAAACTGCCCTGCCATGCGGGGGTCATTCTCTCACCAATCATGTTCTCCCGTATACGGAGCCTCTGCCCTTTGTCGTCTGAAAAACGTATCCTTCCGCGGCCCCAAGGGAAACGTCATTATTCTCAAGACACGCGCTGGTGTATCAGCCCTAAACCCTATCCACGGGATGTCTCTCTTAGGGGAGAATCTTTTCTTTTCTCTACTGACAATGTTTTCTTATTCTTTTCCCCGCCAGTTATTCGTGACTCGGAAGGAGAGGAGTTGCAGGTAGGCGGGGCCACGTGTCGAGAAAATCCCAACGACAAGCCAAACTTTGCAATGGGCAAACTGACTGTTCAATTACAGGCCGCAATTATACGAAGAATGATAACAGTCGAGTGTAACTTAAGACTATATAATTCCACAGCTATTTTTTTTCGTGAGTTGCCGACGGTCAAAAGCAGGGTTTTTTGCAGAGCTGAAAGGCTCTTGGTTAAAAAGGTCTTTGCCCGATCTGTCACGTATAGATAATTCTATATGTTTTACTTTAATGGCGAACATCAAACATTAATATGCCTACTGGGAAACATTCAATATGCTGTTAAAAGTGAAGGCCGGTTTAAAGGGCCCATGCAATGCAGTCTTTGATAATGCACCTTTGTGTCCCATTTAACCTGATTTTCAATTTTTGTTCTGCCATTTTCAAGGGTATATCTGGTGCCTTTTTTGTTTTTATTCTAATGCGAATTTTCATATCCATGAGCAAAACTGTGTTGTCATTCTCGGCAAAAACCTCAATGGTACAACTATTTTAGCACAGAAAGTTGCTAGAATTTGGTTATTTTGCGGTCGTAGATTTTCTTTTGTTTGGTTATTCGTTGTTGTGTCAGTACATGGCAGTAAGTCAATGAGCAAACCTTTCTCATAAATGTTTTCAATGAGCAACTTTTGGCTTCATAATTTGAACAGAAAAACCCTAAACTGAACAGTGTCTTCCTGAAATGACATCACACCAACATCGCCCTCAGTTCAGTTCAGTTCAGTTCAGTCTTTAACAATGTAATTTTCCGCTAATTACCAAGTTGTTTGGGATTTATCCCAGCAGTTGTCATGACTTTATATAAATCCACTTAAACAACTTTGTATCAGGATGACACGTTAGCGGCAAAAGGCGATAGTGTTCCTTTTTATCAAAGATATACCGACTTCAGCAAAATTCAAAAATCAATTAATTTAGAATTTTCAATTTCAGTTATAATTTTCTTAACATTTTATTCCATCAAAAGAAAAAGTTATACACAATAACTCAAATAAGTCATCGTCATCCTAGTTTGCTGTGCGGAAGTTGATCACATTGGTAAATCTAGATCACAACCTTGACGACTGGAGATTTTAACAACCGACCACCCCCCCCCCTTTCAAAAAAGGTGGGGATGTTTGTCAATCCGATGTTTGTTCACAATTTCCTTGGCAAAAAAGTTTAGGGAGACACTGATGCGACCCCATATATAGCTGGTATCTCACACTGAACACCGATTGCCCTTACGATGCGTAGGTAACCGTTTTCATTACAGTAGCGCATCTAGAGGAGTTGGGAGTGCAACCAACCCCTCCCCCACCCCCACCCCACCCTCCCCCACCCCGCCCCTCCCCGTTCAGCTGCTGACTAACGATAGTTATGATACTTGTAAAATGGGGCCGAAAATAATAACTGGAATGCTAAAGTTCTTAAATTTATTCTGATATTGCCTTAGAATGCACGAGAAATCATCATAGATTTCAAAATTTCCCCGGAGCATACCCCCACAGACCCTCTAGCAAGGGCGTGACTTCGACACGCCTTCACTCACCCCCCCCCCCCTATCATATCAACTCTCCTACCCCCCCCCCCCATAACTGAAACCTGATCCGCCCCTGCATTAAGCCGTTAAGCAGAAATATTCCTTTACCTGCTAAGCACAAATCGGCGGGGAACCAGTCATAGCATCCAATGACATTTCCGCTGGTAACCTTTTTGCAAATAGAATGTTTTGGGCTTAGCAAGTTAGCAGCTCCAGGTAAGTGCAAAACATTAAAAAAAAAACATAAAGGTCGCCATGAATTATTCCAATCGAGTTAACTTTTCTCGAGACCAGGGGCCAATTTCAATAAAAATGCTAAACGCTAAATACTTTGCCAATTGCAGGTGCCAAGTGCAGGAAAATACACGCTTAGCAACGGAGGTAACCAACCAAAAACTTGATGGCAAATTACATTACTAGTGGCGGATTCTCAGCTGGTTTCTGATGATCTCGTCAATTTGCAAAGCATAATACTTTCAGCTCAATCATTGGGCAAAGGTTTCCAGACATTTTGCTTTATAGTTCGTTCTCGCTGTTCCAAGGTTGCATCGCCTCGAGACAGTGCAGACAGCCAGATTGATAACGTCAAACTATACTTAAAAGAAAAACCAACAACTTGTGGTAATAAAAGGGCCATATCATCTCGGAAGACGACGCATTGCCATGACAACCACACGAGTGTACTTCGCGAAAATCGCCTCCATCTCACGAAAGAGCACCGTCTTCGCGTAATGAAATACTCCCTCAGCACTTATGACTTTTACCTATTCATAGGTAATTAAATACCAACTTGAATTTCGTCGTATTATTGAAAGGTTGTTTTCGGCTTTGGTAAGCGATCAAAAGTGCCCACGCGAAAAGTTGTAGTGGCGAGTAGTGCATGTGTATGGAGAGCCCTCAGTGGCATTATTCTGCACTATAATTATTACTAAGCGTATATTTTCCACTCATAAACGCAGAGCCACATTTCGCATCAATTTATTTAATGAGAAGCACTATCAGGTGTCAAATACGATCCGTATAGAACCGTTAAAACATTCCTCTTTCTGCGCGACCATTTCTGTCGTTTCAAGAAATATCTCGTCGGTTGTTAAACTCATGTAACCGCAAACTTGAGTCCAATTATGTTATCCAGAAAAAACACCTGGCGCGCTAGCGAGAACATTTTAAAATGTATACTTTATTTTGCCGCGGGTTGGCCGTGTCTAGATTATGTAGTCACTGATCTTATTAAACTCAGATGCCCTTTGCAAAAAGTTCTTGGCGAGCACATTATGTCATTGAGTCGCTGGCTCGTCCACATACTCAAACCCATACTTCAGGTCGCGTTTCCCAAACTAAGAACGCTTACTTCTTTAGTGGTTGGGTGAAGTTGTAACCAACTTGAGTTTCTGGTACAGATTCCACGAGGACAATTTAGCCGAAATATGAACCAAAAAAGGCAACATCGACTCCGCATAAAAAAGTGGAATCTATCTGAATCATACCTCGTTTTGAATCACAGTAATCAAATTAACATGTTGGCAAGATATAGGTTGGGCTAGGCCTTGGTAAACATGGCAGTCTCGAAAGAGGGACAGCGCCAGGCGCAGAAGTGGAAATAAAGTCTCCCTTGCCGCTCCGTGCTAAAAGAAAACACGCATCTTTAGTGCTGACGGGAAAAATATACTTTTGGCGCCAAAAGTACACGAAAAAAAGAAGCGGTGCACGGCGTGGAAGGCGGATGTATGACCCGCGGTTACCTAATCTATACAAAAAGGGGAATCCAAAAAGTATAGACGGGACTTTTTAGTTTAACTTGACATTGAGCTTCATCGACAGTGTATTCTTGAACAACAATTTTTTTGGTAGACATTTTTCCGTTGATAGAAGTAAGATATTAATAGTTAACTTCCAATGGCAGTTTAAAGTAACTGTGACTTAAAAAAAAATTCACCTTAAAAATAGAAATAATCTGTAAAGAGCAGACTCGTTTGTTTCTAAACGTCAAGAATAACCGCAACCTTTTCCGGTAAAAAAAAGTTAAAAATAAAGATTTGCCAAATCCATGAACTTGAATGCCACGGGGGATTATCCCATCTGACACTATACGTCGGTCACTAATCCCCTTAATCCGGACTACAGGCTCGTCGGACGTGTTTGGCTTCAAAGCCCGAATCCGCTTTCGTCGCCAACCGTCAGGATCTCTCGGAAGGCAGGACGACTTACCTTTAATATTTCAAAACAGACATAGTCTCAACGATTTAAAACCGAAGTTCTTAAACACTTTGCCTCAGCATCTATTCCG